ACAACCCCACCCCATGGACCTCTGTACGGGATGTCCGAAGACGAACTCCTTGTTCTCCGGAAATTTCTTCAGGAAAACCTCGACAAGGGTTTCATACGTGCCAGCACATCACCAGCAGCCTCCCCAGTGTTGTTCGCAAAGAAACCAGGAGGTGGCCTTCGCTTCTGTGTCGACTACCGAGCACTCAATGCCATAACCATCAAGAACCGATATCCTCTGCCACTAATTCAGGAGACCCTTTCACAGCTAAGCCAAGCCAAGTACTTCACCAAACTTGATGTTGTTGCAGCGTTTAATCGGATACGCATAAAGGAGGGCCAAGAGTGGATGACGGCGTTCAACACAAGATATGGTCTCTTCGAGAGCTTGGTAATGCCCTTCGGACTATCAAACGCCCCAGCTACGTTCCAAGCCCGCATCAACGAAGTTCTGCGCCCATTCCTGGATAGATTTTGCACGGCCTATATTGACGACATTCTCATCTACTCAAACGACCTCGCCTCTCACAGACTCCATGTCAAATCCGTTCTCCAAGCGCTTGAAGCCGCTGGCCTACAACTCGATGTCAGGAAATGCGAATTCGAGACTACGGAAGTCAAATACCTGGGCATGATCATCTCAACTACGGGAGTACGAATGGATCCAGCCAAAGTCGACTGTCTCGTTAATTGGGAGACTCCTGCCAACGTGAAAGACGTACAAGGCTTTTTAGGGTTCTCGAATTTCTATAGACGATTTATCAAAGGATTTTCACGCATCGTACGACCGCTTGTTGCCCTGACGCGGAAGTTAGTGAAATGGAACTGGACGCCATCCTGTCAAGAGGCATTCGACACGCTCAAAAATAGCTTCACCTCAGCTCCAATTCTCAGACACTTTGACCCCACAAAAGAGGTGTTTGTCGAATGTGACGCATCCGATTTCGTGTCCTCTGGCATTCTCTCCCAAGAAGACGATGAAGGAGTACTGCACCCAGTAGCCTTCATGTCTAAGAAGTACGATCCCGCCGAGTGTAACTATGAAATCTACGACAAAGAACTCTTAGCTATCGTACGCTGCTTCGAATGCTGGAGGCCCGAGCTGCAAGGCGCACATCATCCGATCACAGTGATTACCGACCACGCCAATCTTCGGTATTTCATGACAACAAAGCAACTTTCAAGGCGCCAAGTCAGGTGGAGCGAGTTCCTATCACAGTTTCAATTCGCTATCAAGTCGGTACCAGGGAAAGACAACAGAAAACCCGACTCACTTACAAGGAGGTCACAAGATCTGCCAAAAGACAAAGACGACGACCGTATCCAGTACCAACACCAATCATTGCTTAAACCGCACAACATAGACCCTTCTGTGCAAGAAGAATTGAAGATTGACCCCGAGCTCTCAGAACTCTTTGCGAACCTGTCTTGGGACCAGGAAATTGCACTGTGCCCTGCCATTCTAGACGAAGTCGAACCGGAACCAATCGACCACAAAATCACAAGATTGCTTGACAAAGGCTACGAGAATGATGAATGGTGGATGAAAATCAGGGACGAAATGCTCAAACCTCACGGCATCCCCCACTCGAAGGAAGTTCCCCTGTCGGAATGCACGATAAATGAAGGCCGACTATACTTCCGAGAGAGGTTGTACGTTCCCGATGGAGAATTACGGACCCTTCTCACCCAGCTCGCCCATGACAGCGTCGAGTCAGGACACCCGGGGAAAAACAAGCTATATGAACTCATCTCACGCTCCTACTGGTGGCCACAGCTCAGTGCCGACACAAAACGATTCACACGCAATTGCCACGGTTGTCTACGAAACAAGTCCTCCCGACTAAAGTACCAGGGAACACTAAAGCCCCTTCCAATTCCCCTGCAAAGATGGAGAGATCTGTCTGTCGACTTTATCGGCCCATTTCAACCCACTCCCCGCGGCTTTAACGCAATTATGGTCGTAGTTGACAGACTGTCAAAGGACAGACATTTCACGCCCTGCAGGACCGACATGAAGGCACACGACCTAGCCATGTTATTTGTACGAGATGTATGGAAACTCCATGGCTTACCAGATTCGATTGTGTCCGATAGAGGACCTCTGTTCGTTTCAGAATTCTGGAAAGCAGTCTGCCACCGATTACAGACCAACATCAGTCTTTCCACAGCATATCACCCCGAGACCGACGGCCAGACCGAAAACGCTAACGCATTCCTCGAGCAATACCTTCGCCAATATGTCAGCTTCGCTCAAGACGACTGGGATGAGTGGCTCCCACTAGCCGAGTTCGCGGCCCGCAACGCTGTCAACGATTCAACTGGCATGTCCCCTTTTTTCGCGAACACAGGCTACCACCCCCGAATGAGCTTCGGTCCCCCCCGAGTAGTCCCAAAGCCAGCACCCAAGGACGTAGCAGACCGCTGCAAGGAGGGCAACAATTTCGTTACCAAGATGCAAGAGATCACCGACCTACTCCGGACAAACCTGCTTTCAGCCCAAGCTTCACAAGAGAAATTTGCCAATGCAAACAGGTCACCAGCACCAGCTTATCGAGTAGGAGATATGGTTCTGCTTAGTACGCGAAACATCAACTCAGCCAGACCCATCCCAAAACTCGATCACAAGTTCATCGGTCCCTTTCGAATAGAACGCGTCCTCGGATCTCACACCTACCAGCTCAAACTGCCACATGAATTATCTTCAATTCACAATTCATTCCACACCAACCTTCTGCGACCATCACCAAACGACCCACTCCCCGGGCAGCATAACCCTCCGCCTCCCCCTATAGCGTTAGATGAGAGAGGAGAGAAGCTCTGGGCGATCGATAAGATACTGGACTCAAAACGTACAAAGGGTAAAGGCTTCCAATACCATATACTATGGAGAGGCTTTGGTCGAGAGGAAGCGACATGGGAACCCTTACACAATGTTGTCAACGCCCACATAGCGATCAAAGAGTTCGAGAAACGCTACAGAAACAAACCCAGACCCACAAGACGAGAAATCCGAACCGCCCGGTCCCAGGCGAGACAAGACGTGGAGGAAACAACGTGATAAAGCAGAGACAGTCAAAAGAAAGGGAGTAAGACGAGACCATATGTAAGGGAACGGCCCCACTTTAGGACTTAGATAGCTCGAGTCAGAGCTTCCGAAGGAAGCTCTTACTCTCCTTGTGAACAATCGCTTCATCCAAGTCGCATTCGACCTTGCTCGTGCCCTTGTACCGTCACATATTGTTCACCTGTACCTCGATATGGTAGATCACTGTCCTCGACGTGAATATCGCCAATTCCGTCATCCCAAAGCCTCACCCCACCGAACGCAGAGTTTTTCACCCCTTTTCCTACCAAACCAACGAACCAAACAAATGAAACCAAATGACCCAAACCTAGCGAATTCAAACTGAAGAAGAGATATCAACGAACCAAACTAACGAAACGAAATCAACGAAACGAAATCAACGAAACGAAATCAACGAACCCAACGAACCCAAACTAACGAGAGAAGTCAACCAAGCCAACCAAACCAACCAACGAAAACTTAAGGAAACCGTGTTACTGCATCCACACCACAACCGACGCTCAACCAGTAATAACCATGAATGGCGCTAATCCCACGCCGATCGATCGAGTACCTCCCTGTCCACTCCTCAACGCTAGTAACACAGAAGAAGCGTTCCGAAATGCCTTTGCAACCAACCCAACCGGTCTTATGAAAGAGGTCTTCCTTGTATGCAACGCCGCATATAGCATGGAAAGAGTGATCGAATCCCTACGCGCCTCGGCCGCAGAAACGATTACGGAAATGGAGGACCTTCAAACCCGACTGGAAAACACTCTCATCACTAAGAGCGATGGAGACGCAACGATCACCCGCCTGATGGCAGAAAATGAAGCATACCTAAAAGTCATACAATCACGAGGCGTTCCACACCGCACACCAGAACATCCCGATCCTGAACCATTCACTGGCGAAGACCCCTCTCTCCTGCAGAATTTCCTCCAACAACTTGACTTAAAGCTCGAAATGAACAAAGATTGGTGGACTTCGGAGCGTCAACGTATGGGATACGTAGTCTCATGCCTCAAAGGTAAAGCTCATGACCAAGTCCGGTACAACATTAAAGACGGGGTAGTCCTATTTGATGACGTCGACGCAATAAAAGAAGTCCTTAAATCAGCCTTTGGAGACATTGACGCCAAAGCCACGGCCCAACGCAAAATCTTCGACATGAAACAAGGCCATAGACCTCTCACGACATTTCTCCCCGAATGGTACGCTGTCGCCAAACTCACCGGCTGGGATAGCGCGGCCCTCATTGCCCATCTCCGACGCGGTCTTCACGAAAATATCACTTGGAGACTCTCCCTCACCAAGAGCAAAGATATGCCCACCGAACTCACCCAGTTTATGGATCTCGTCCGCACCTGCGATAATGAGTGTCGTCAAGTCAATGCCAACTACTTTAAGAAGGGCACGAGCAACTCCCCTGCCAACCAACCCGCGGGTTTGCAGCCCACCAGCGCACCACAATTACCAGCCGCTAACGGCGCGGACGCCATGGATCTGAGCGCCACCACCTGGGGACCGGAAGATGTCACCTCTGGCCGCAGACCTCAAAATGATGCAGAGAGAGCAGCACGCAAAGCCTACTGCACCGCCCATGGGCTCTGTCATTGGTGCAACTCGGACAAACATCGCTCCCTCAATTGCGATACCGCACCATGGAACAAGGGAAAAGCGTAGTCTCCGGCGGAAGTCGCCGCAGGAGACGAAAGAAAAAGACGGACCTACAACTCTCTTCCCTGGACTCCAACGAATCTCATTTAGTCTTACCATGTACTCTGACGGAAGACAATAATGCAAGTATGGTAAAGGCCAATTCTATGCTTGACTCTGGCGCCACTGGAAAGGGATTTATAGACGAGTCTTTTGCGCACCACAACAAATTCACTTTTCACAAACTACGAAACCGTCGCCGGCTGAATGTAGTCGATGGAAGACCCTCCTCGGCAGGCGACATCACTCACGTAGTAAAACTCAACATGGAAATCAAAGGACATGAAGAAAAAATGTTATTTTACGTAACGAAGCTTGGGAAGTACGACATCATTCTGGGAAAACCCTGGCTGAGAGACCACAACCCAAACATCAACTGGATCACCAATACAGTTACTTTCAACTCTGACCACTGCCGCAAATATTGCATGGAGAAGGGATACTATCAACTGACGGTTTCCGGAACTCCCTCTTTGCAACCTCCAACAACCACGGCTATAACTCCACGCCCATCAATGCCCCGAAGAGTCGGTGCAGCCGCATTCCACACACTGGCCCAAAAGCGCAACGTCGATGTTTTCTCACTGTCGCTGTATGAGATTGATAAGAGACTGGCTGAACTTGGCGTTATTACAGAAGCCTCCACGTTTGTAGAACCTAAAGCAGCACGATATGACGCTGCACTTACGGATATGCAAAAGATGAACCAACAACTCCAGGCCCATAACAGAATCACACCCTCTGACGCCGGAGACCAACAGACCCAAGAAGTCCGAGCCTCCCAGAGACTAGCAGCCGAGATGTACCTTTCGGGAGCTTCACTCGCGGATATTCACAAAGCTCTCGAGCCTAAGGCTTTTATTGACTCTGCAACAATAGTACCTAAACACTATCACGAATACCTGAAAGTATTCGATCAAGCAGAGGCAGACAAACTTCCCCCCCACCGAGACTGCGACCACGAAATCAAACTCCAACCTGGTACAACCCCACCCCATGGACCTCTGTACGGGATGTCCGAAGACGAACTCCTTGTTCTCCGGAAATTTCTTCAGGAAAACCTCGACAAGGGTTTCATACGTGCCAGCACATCACCAGCAGCCTCCCCAGTGTTGTTCGCAAAGAAACCAGGAGGTGGCCTTCGCTTCTGTGTCGACTACCGAGCACTCAATGCCATAACCATCAAGAACCGATATCCTCTGCCACTAATTCAGGAGACCCTTTCACAGCTAAGCCAAGCCAAGTACTTCACCAAACTTGATGTTGTTGCAGCGTTTAATCGGATACGCATAAAGGAGGGCCAAGAGTGGATGACGGCGTTCAACACAAGATATGGTCTCTTCGAGAGCTTGGTAATGCCTTTCGGACTATCAAACGCCCCAGCTACCTTCCAAGCCCGCATCAACGAAGTTCTGCGCCCATTCCTGGATAGATTTTGCAC